TGTTTTTAAATAGTGCATAATATTCAGTGCACCGTTATCGTGTACTCCCTCCCTTTGTGATGGACAGTTGGATTGTCCCCATTTTTTTTTTCTATTTGGAAGCTTTTGCTGAGAAAATACTTATACATATATTTTTCCTACTCTATAAGCATTTCCATATAAGCTCCTCAAAGTGGGATTGTTGACTTGTAAGGTGTAAGAATTTAAAAATTGATGCATACTGCCCAACTGGCCTCCTACAAGTTATAAAACTCAGGTACTCACCAACAGTTCCGGATTGTGGGCAATTCCTTACATCCTCACCAACGCTAGACATTATTCATATTAAACATTTTTTGTAATTTGAAAGACAAAAAATGCATCTAATTATTCTGTTTTTTCTTTTCCTTCACCCTCGTAACCTGTGCTTTTTAATTTTCTTTTGTCTCTGTGCCTAGGTGACAGCTCTTCTGTGAATCTTTCCCAGTCTCCGAGGCAACACTCATTATTCTCTTCCTGGAACCCTGTAACGATGGTGCAGATTTCTGCCCCAACTGCACTGCGAAGCTTTTAAAGTAAGATGCTCATTTCCCGATCCCTTACTTTTTTTTTTTTTTACATTGTGCAAAGAGTGCTTTATTTTTTCAAGAAACGTTATTGTTAGTGGGGAGGGGATATTTTATGCACCTTATAGTGGACACTGCTCCAATTCCTTACTTGTGAATTTACTGGTGCTTTGCACGTGCTAGGTGCAAATTTTTGTGTATTTGAATGACTGGATGATACTCTCCTCGGTTTATTGTAGCTCTAGAGGTGCAATGAAGACATTGCCTGGGACTCCTACAGTAGCCGCAGCTTTAGAATGCCAAGAACCCTTCTTTTAAAACGAGCATATATCTATCATTCATCTACTCACGTGTACGTCAGGAATGGGTTTTGTTAAGAGGGAAATTCCCAGGACGGCAAGTGTGGTCACAAAGAAGAGAATGATGGCAAAGTACAGGTAGTGCACGCCACACAAAATCTTGGGACAGTCACTGGCAGCCAAGCAACTCCCTGTTCCGTAGGTAAACTCTGCGATCATACGAATAAGGCCCATCACAAATCCAATGATTAGACCCCAGAATGCTCCCTGCACAGAAACAAAAACAAAATCAGAGTGTCTAGAAAAGATGAGAAGCTCATTCAAGTAAGCCATAATTATCATCTAGGCTGCTTTCTCAATGAAGGACCAACAAGTGGCTAACCGTGAGCACAAAGTCACCAAAAGAGAAAGTTGCTAATGTGTGTGTGAGTGGTGTGTTGCTCTCCGTGGTCTTGAAACAGCATTGCACTCTTGGTCCTCTGATTCCAGGACACTACTGTCTATGCTGACCCAACCTGAGGTTTTCTTTGACTTTTATTTTATAGATAGATTTAAAAACTCATGGTTTATTTTGTAGAGTAAACAGAACTATGAGTTATGTTACACAATTTTCAGAGCAGATATTAGGTAGTTTTGAGAGTTTTATTAAGCTCTTGACAATTCAAAGTGTTTATTTTCTCTGAGACATTGATGGGGGTGGACAGATACACCCCTGTTCCCCTGAGCAAGATGTTATGCTTTAGGAAAACAGTATTTCATGCAGATTAAGAGTATGAGCTTTGGATGGACGAAGCCCCAAGTCTGAATCCCCGGACCCCACTTACTGATATTAAGTAACACATGAAAAGCACATAGGTATTAACCTCTCTGCACATGTTCCTTATCCGAAAATTAAAATAATAAGGCTAGTACCTAGGAACAATGAAGGGATTCAATGTACATGGTCCACTATAATCAATCAATTATATATATCATAATAGCAGTAAACATATTCCGAACCCTTACTAGTGTGGTAGATTTTCTTCTAAGCATTTCACATATGAAAAAAAATTTTTTTTTTGAGACAAGGTCTTATTCTGCCACCCAGGCTGGAGTGCAGTGGTGTGATCATAGCTCACTGCAACCTCGAACTTCTGGGCTCAAGGGATCCTCCTGCCTCAGCCTCCCAAATAGCTGGGACTACAGGCTCATATCACCACGCTCAGATAATTTTTTAAAAACAATTTTTCATAGAGACAGTGTCTCACTGTGCCCAGGCTGGTCATGAACTCCCGGCCTCAAACAATCCTCCTGCCTTGACCTCCCAAAGTGCTGCGATTACAGGCATGAATCACTGCACCCAGCCACGTTTCGCATATTTTATCTCATTTAATCCTCACAGCAATCCCATAGGGTAGGTGCTATCATCATCTGCATTTCACAGAGTCAAGTGATTTGCTGAAGGTCACAACACTGTTAGGTGGTATAGCCACGCCTGGGTTTTGGCAACCTGTCTCCCAAACCTGTGTTCCTCAGCACTGCGCCATGTATGTACAGAGCATTTTGTAAGAAATATAAATACTCTACTATGAATGGACACTATTATTTTTGTACTTTAGGAAGGATCAAGAATTGTGACTGACCTCAACTGAAATTGACATGGGCCATGATTTGTAAAATAGAGCACAAAAATACATTTTGATACCTCGGTGAAAAAAATGTTTTCTCACCCCAGCAGGGAAAATGTTTTCCAGTGTTCACTTACCTGCTCGTTGACTCTTTTACAGAAGACGGCCAGCAGGAAGACAGCTGCAATTGGAGGCCCGAGGTAACTAGCCATTGATTCTGAGTAGTGGATCAGCTGTCCATTTCGAAATACCTGTACTAGTGGAACCCACATGATGCTGACGACAGTTACTACGAGGAAAAATATCCTGGGAAGAAAACAAAATGATTTACGTGTTAAGCAAAAGTATCACAGGCACTTCCGTTGTGCTTTAGTTCATGGATTCATTCTTGTTGCCATTTCTTGGTTTTCCAAAGAAAGCCAAGCTCCTTAACCTTGCAAGAACCCATGCCATGCTTAATGATTTTCTGTTAGTAAAGTGCCGATACAGCAATTGCTGGTCTATAATTAGTCCTAACAGCTTCATCTACGAGATGAAATATCTGAAAACAGTTCAGGTGTCCCCAGTTGATTAATGATTCTCTAATGTGATGTATGTCAATTGCAAATCAACACCACTCTATTTCTATTAACCAGTAATTCTTTGTAAGATAAAGAAAGCAGACTTCCATTTTTGTCTTTTTCCTAGCTTGCAGAGAACTAAGTCAGTTTGCATAGGTTAGAAGTAATGTGGCCTCTACCCCAGAATGTGGAGTGCATTGGCAAGGAATGCTAATTTGTGCATTTATTATTTGAATACTCTGGCAGATAGAAAGAATTGGTTAAAATATTGATAAGTCATAAAAGCCTGCTAGAAGCTCCCGAGGTCTGGAGAGCAGGATTTATTTGTCTTTCTAAAGCCCAGTGTTCTCTGTGTTTGTTGAATAAAATGAACATTGAATTTCATTGAATAAAATGAAAAAACGTAATTTACTAGACTGCAACAAAGGTCATCATCTCTCTTGCTTGCATGAAACAGAGAAGCCGTGGTGGGGTGGAGGGAGGAACAAGCATTTGGGCAGGAGACTGATGCACAAATGTCTCATTTAAACTTTCCAAAATCTCTGCATTGTTGCAACAACTAAATATGATAAACCGTGAAAGGTCTTAGCATAATGCCTCAACCATAATAAGGATTCAATAAATTATACCCACTATTGTCATTTTTATCATCATTGGAAAGTAAATCCTGTCCCTCCCCAGCTCATGCAGCTTCTATTGTTCTCTGTCACATGCAGAATAAACTCCAGAGCCTTGTCCTGGCTTAAGTGTCCCTGCATGACTTCGCCTCAGGCCACCTTTCTGGCCCTGGTTCTTGTCACTCTGCCACTTGCTCCTCATGGGCCCACCTCACTCCTCATTGTTCTCAGATACCCCACACGCGTGACCATTGGATGAACACAGCACTCACTGCTCCCTCTCCAGAGAGCCATGGGGCGACCACACTCCTGAGGGCTCTGCTCCAATGCCACCTCCTCAGGGGGACTCCCTGAGCGTCTGGATGAGGGACCCGCCACTCCATTTTCCTCCTGTAATTCTCATCACAGCCTTTCTTGCCACCCAGTGCAGCACACATTTGTGAACTGTCTATCTTCCCCACAAAGGCATAAATTCCATGAAGCAGCAATTTAAAAAATGTACGTGTTTCTTTCCATATTTGTGTTTTGGGAGATAGTAGGTATTTGATAAGAGAGAGAGGAAAAGAAAAAGTCACTAATTTATCATTCAGGAGGATTTCATGATCTTACGCCTGTTAGGGGGACTACTGCATCTTGGGTCCCCTGAATACCAGTCAGCACTTTCTCTGCCACGGAAACACACATCTTACTGTTCCTGTTCTCCTACAGCATTTGTCCAGAGTCAAGATCTCGGCCGAGTGAGGCCTTTGGGCTCTTTCCCCAAATGTTTTATTTGCTAAAGCTATTATTACTGTCACCAGCAAAACAATCTTTTTAATGGGTGTTCAGTTTTTCTTGATACCAACTGAAAAGCTGGCTGTGTCCCTCCAAGACTGGTCTTTGCAGACACTGTATTTGCAGACTGTACTGAGAGTGTCCTTACCCTGGAGCCACTGCGGCCAGTGTGCCTGCTCAATGAGTCAGGAAGAGGGAGAATTGAGATTAAGGTGAGAATAGCAGGGCTCCAGCTTCTACTCCACCTACTGGCAAGGCTCCAATAAACTTCAAGTGCTAAGCTACAAGTATGTAATTACACATTTTCATTACAGAAAATACACGTAAGTACATTACCAAAAAATTGGTAAGTATGACAGGAGAAATGATGCACCCATTATCTTACCATTTTAGCCACATTTGGAATTATTATCACCATCAATTTGATCATTTTTGCAAGAGTCATAATCAATTTCTTTAAGATCTCTTCCCACCTTCCTTTCTAATCAGAACCACTAAATTTTAAAAGACTGAGAGTGAAAGATATGCACACTCGTCGCAATCCACTTGACAGAAATACATATCCACGTGCATCAAGGGACATAGACAAAAGTGCTCAAGCCATGAACAGGAGAGTAGATGAATTCTGATGTATTCCTACAATGGAATACCATATTGAAAATAAATAAATAAACTATAGCTACACATAGCAACATAGATGGATGTCACAAACATAACACGAGCAAAAGAAACCATATATCAAGCAATGCATATTGAGTTATTCTATTTATAATAGCCTGAAACTGGGAAAGAATAAACCATAGCATTTGGAGTCACAGTGGTCAGCTTTGGGGATACGGGGTCCAAGGGGGCTTCTGGGAATTTCCATTTCTTGACTGGACTGCCAGTTACATGGGTGCTCATTTTATGATATGTCACTGAGCCATACATTTATGTTTTACATGTTTTCTGTATGTGTGTGTTCCTTGAATTTTTAAAACATGTTACAAAATGTTGCAAAATACTTTTCAAGTAGACAATACAGGGTCTACTTTTAAAGTATGAAGCGAAGAAAGGAGGCTATTTATCCATTCTTCCTGCTTGTTTCCCTCTACCTCACTGTCTTTAAGGCCCCCGGGCTGCTCAGGGATCCCTGGGTTAACCGAACTCTCCAAGCAGTGTTTTGGAATTAGTCCCTCCCATGAGTTCTATCCCTTTCTAACGTGGTCCAATCTTTAATGATGCAATTGATAAACTCCTCTGTGTTAGTGTGTGGATGTCTTAATCTATTACCTCCAGGTGATATACCAGGAAACTGCTGGAGACAATGCATTATTCTATCAGAGGTGGATGGAATTCTGTACCCCATTAAAGCACTGATGGAGTTAGTGAAGATGTGGGTGGAGAGCAGTACGAAGAGGGAAAGAAATAAGAGATAATTAGAGGCATTTGAAAGTCTGAAAGAGCAATTATTTTGCTTAAAGGTATGACTCCAATTTTTGCATCTGGACAGATATAAGTTGAAATAAACATCCTTTAATGTTCCCTCCTCCACTCTAGGACTCTATGTTTACTTTTGTCAAAGCCAAAGACAAGGGAGCTCTAGTTCACTTCTACATTTGCGCTACTGTAGAGGCATTCTAGGGAGAAACAGGGTTCCCTCACCGTCCTGCTATCAGAAGCTCTTTCTCCGACGCCTGCTTCCGCACCTTGGTGTAGATGTCCATGGTGAAGAGGGTGCTGGCGCTGTTGAAGATGGAGGTCAGTGAGCTCATGAGGGAGGCCAGCATGACCGACAGCATCAGGCCTCTCAGCCCTGGTGGCAGGAGAGGGTACAAGCACTGGTTAGTGGCTGGACACCGTGATCTATGAGGGCCTTGCTCAACCAGAGAGCTGTTCAAAGATAAAAGTGTCAACTCGAACACTGATTAAGTGATGTACTTATCAACATACACCAGCATGTGGAGTTTCCTGCATATTTCCTGGTGATCTGAGAATAATGCAGTATAGAATTTTAGTCCTACACATAAACTTAGAGCTCATCTGTTGGAACCTCATTTTAGAAGAGTGGAAATAGTGTCATGCCATCTTTCTTTGGAGAGGAACTCTTGGCTTTCTGAAGACTTAGAGAACTGAAGGGGAAGAAGTTTAGTAGGAGTTTCTGCCAAAGAAGTCTTTGGTGGGTCAAAGCTAAGGGTTCTGAACCATCATGAGAGCTTCAACCTCCATTTCTCTCTGCCAATTAGTAATGGCCCTAAACCTCCTAGGACAGAGTGTGGATGAGTTGTATGTGGTGTCATGCTTGTGGGTCATGCTCCCCTCCTCCTGAAAATGCTCATGTGTGTTGGGTGGACAAAAGTCACAGAAGTATTAGCCAACATTTGATGGGCCTCAGGTACAAGATTACCTGGTCAGTCCGGAGCTCTGTACCTGGCTCTGTTCCTGTTCACCATAGCGATGATCACCTTCTGGCTTCCTAATAATTTACTTATTTCACACGTATGGTTTGTTTTCTATCTCACAATACTGGAATGTGAGTTCTAAGGGCCAGGGGATTTTGTACGTACTTCACTGATGTTTTCTAAGCACCATAGCAATGCCTGGCACATAGTAGGTACTCAATAAACACTCATAAATTAAATAGATTGATATCTATTATTTTGGTATCACTGAACAAAAGAAAGCAGGATAGTTAACCTCTAGTCCTCTGAGTTTGTAAGTTTATGGATGTGCAACTCCTTTATTGACAAAGAGATCACTGAAATGTTCTTGATTCCCTTGGAAGAGTCTTAAATGTGAAGGAGTAAGTAATGTCTACAGATTCTTCTAACAGAAACTGTATCGGATTTGTCTATGAACTCTCCAGGCCTCTCAGAGGGCCAGTGGCCTGTGGAAGGTGCTCAAGAAATGTCTGATGAATAGAACTGAATTAATGAAAGTGAGAATTACCAAGGATTATACCATCACCTTCCTCAAGGCCCTTCCATAGACAGCCTTCTGAGGCTGTTTCAGCACGGACATTTTCCTACCTGCCGGCAGCAGTTCCAGCACCAACGTTGGGTAGGCATAGTTACTGCAGCCAACTTCAACGCCGCACTGTTTCACACACTCAGAAGGCACGATGCAGGCCACCTTATCTGAGGAAGGATTCAGAGGTGAGCTCCGTGAGGCTGAAACAGGCACAGCCCACAACTGCTGGACAAAGAGGTAAGTTGTACAATCATGGGTGGGGGAAGGAAAAACATTTGCCCGGACATTGGAGACTCAACTTTGAACTCCATACCACGGATCCGATCCCTCTTTGTCCAGAACATGATGCATAAAGGTCTCATCTCTGTGGCTCTCCTTGCATTGACCCATGGGGCAAAGCTCCCCTCTTTGGGATGTGGCCCAGAGAGGGAATCAGAGCAAACAGGGGAGCTGATCCCATCCTCCAGAAAAATGGCAAGAGAAGAACATTTTCCAGAAAATAAACATCAACACTCTAGAAATAAACATCAACAACAACAATGACAACAACAACAGGAAGTTAGGTCCTGCGTCCAGTCCCAGCTAGCCTACTGTTGTTCACCCACATCTCAGAAGAGGCGTCACTCGTAATGGTCAATCTGCGTGACAGCTCCGTGTGTGATGATGACTCAACTCTGTGGCAGTTGCACAATACTTCAATGGGTTTTTTTTTCTTAAACAATATCATGACAACAGACAGGGAAAATTGAAAAAGAATCACCCAGAATAATAACACCTTGGTAAATTAACTTTTTTCACTTTTTTTTTTTT